GGCGCGAACGACGCCACGTCGCGCACTCTGCTGCGCGAACAGGGGCTGCAACATCGCACGCCCTAGCCTCTCGAAACAATGTTGACCTGCCCAGCTGAGAGCGCCGGCCAACTTGCTGGCTTGGCCGGCGCGTAGCGTCCCGCAGTCGAGCGCGTGCTTGATCAAGAAAAGCCACTTGCGCACCTTCTTGGGCGCGGGAAACAGGTTGATCCCGCTGAGAGAAAAGGGCGCGTACAGGCCCAGAATCTCCAGCTCGTCGCCACATTCCAGCTTCTTGTCGGATACCTCTCCTGGACCGAGGAGAAGGCGCACTAGTCTGGCCAGCGATGCCATGGTATGCTCCCTTGTTGCAGGTGCGCACGGCCCAAAGACATCGCCCACGCACCGGAGGGTGGGAATCTTTAAGAGCTTTCGGGCGAGGCGCGCCAGGGCAGCGCCAACTCGGCCCCGCCCAAAGACGGCAGCCAGGGCGCCGAACATCAACGCTATATGGCCAGTGACCCAAATGTCCCCGTCGTGCATATACGCGCTGCAAGCTGCCCACCTGTGAAAAAGGCCGACAACGACACCGCAAGCGCCGGGTTCCTCTGGAACCCTGACTCGGGCCCCCAGGTCGACGCCTTTTAAAAGGGAGGGGCGCCCGGAAATCCCGAGCCTGTGTTCAGGGGCGATAAGAGCGCGCCGGTAAGCGGAGTCGATTTCTGCCTTAAACAGCGCCGGTGCGTGCCCGCGCAGACCGCGATAGCAGCGCAGGGCGTCCACTAAAATGTCAGCCCCGTCCAGCAACAACCTCTCGGCGGGCTGGCGCGCCGAGTTGATGCCCCCTCCGGATTCATCGTCCACTATGCGAACCTTGGGCGCGCCATCCGGCTTGATGCCTTGCACAGTGGAGAATCGCGGCGACAGACGCACCCTGCTCAAGTCCGCCTTTGCCAGCGCAACTCGAGCGGTCATCCGCGACAGAGACGCGTCGGCGAGCGCGCCCTCGTGGATCGCAGACGAGTTCCCGTCCTCACGCAAGGATGACAAAATGGATCTATTGTGTTCAGGGGAGGGTCAGCAAATCCTCGGACGACGTGGGCCCTGGGAATCTCTTCGCGGGCCCTCTGCCCGAATGGGGCAGTTTTCCGAGCAAAGGCGCGCCGTGTCGGAACATATCAGCCGCAGCCGTGTCGTCGTAGCTCGTCGCGTCGAGCAGGGCAGCTAAAAGCGGCCCGTTCACGTCGGCGGACACGGCGCGCGTCGCAGCGTCCGCGCCGGCGAACCATTACTCGACGGCCCCGTCTCGTCGTAACGCTTGTCCCAGCGCTTCCAGGCGTGATAGCATATTGTCGCGCGGACGCATAACCTCTACGCTGTCTCTGGGCGCTTCCCATTCTACGGCGCTGCGAACGTCTTCCTCAATCCCGCGCGATGGCGCGATGTGAAATCCGCCCTTCATTTCGCTGTTGATGAATTCTATCTTCTGCACGTCGCCAGCGTCAAGCTCTCCTAGAACGCGAAAAATGTGACGCGCGCGGGGGGACATGCGAAAAGCGGCGCGGCTTTTCGACAAACGGGCTTGCGCCGTGCACCCCGCCCACCGCGGGAGCGCCCGCGCCGGCAACTTCTTCCAGTGAAATAGCTGGTGTAGGCTGCGCCGCGCGCGTCCACGCCGAATTGGTAGCCTGCGCAAGCGCGACGCCAACGCGCGCGGCATGCCGCTGGGCGCGCCGCGCTGCCAGCCCCCTGTCCACGGCGTGCTTCAAATGTCACCGCTGGACTCTTCGCTGCGCCTGCGCGCCGCCCGGCTGCCGCCGTCGCGCGCGCGCTCCGACCCGCGCCCGCGCGGCGCAGGAACGTTGATCAGCGCTCCTGGTGCCTGGCTCTCCTGGCCCGCGGCCCCCCGTAATCGCCGCGGTCGTTCCCGCCGGGGGCGCAGGAGGGAACTTGCCCTTGCCGTCGCCCTGGCGCCCTTGCCGCCGCCCTTGCCGGGTTTTCCGCCGCCCTTGGCACCCTTGCCCCCGCGGGGGGCTGAGCGCTCCTGACTTTCGCGATCGCGCGCGGCCTCTGCCTCGCCCAAGAGAGTCGCATCGATCGTTGCCGCGACAGTTTCGATGTCGAAGGAATCGTCGCCGGCGCGAGATCGACCACTCTGCCCAGGTGCGCCGGCAAATCTCATCGTAAACGAGCCCCGGCACGCCGCTCCGATTGGCAGTGGGCGCTTGCGCGGCCACCTGCCGCGCCGCGCACGCATCGCACCCGCGCCGCTGGGCCCGCGCAGCAACGGAAATTGGCGGGCCTTCATGGCGTTCTGGCGGTGGCGAAACGTCGCAGCCAGCGACGTCTGCTCCGCGCAGACGCAAGCGATGGCGCACCCACGCGCTCGGACGACGCCGTTGCTTTAGGATGCGCGCCCCGCGCGCAGACCCGCGCACCTGTCGAAGGCGGCATGCCATTGCGTGAAAGTGAGCGACTTCGCTTTGACTGGGTTCGCGACGCCGAGCGTGCGCGAGAGGTCGCCAAGGTCCCGCGACATGGGCGGGTCCTCATCAGCCTCCTCGTTCGCGCTCTTCTATTCTGCCCAGAACGGCAAGAACTTCTGCAGGTCAGCGAACACAAATGGCCGTCTGATGCCGCGACGCTGCAGCCGCTTCACGTCCGACTCGAGGGCGCCGACCGCCGCGGGCCGCGGCCAGAGCGCCTGGCCCACGTCCTCCAGGGCGCCCCCTTGCAACTTCGCCTGGATGTCCGCGTGGCGCATCGGCTCAGGCGCTGACCCGCTCCCGGCCGCGCTGCCTGCGCTGGCCGGATCAGCCGCGCGCTGTTCCTCCGCGGTCAGAGATCTCGCGGCAGCCATCGCTCCGGCTAAGAAGGAACGCTTGCCCGCGGACGGGTTGCCTTGCAGCGCGGCGGCATCTGCAAACGCAAGATCGCGCACTGACGCCAACTCGTTGTCCTGCGCGCGAGGCGCGGGCGCGTCGTGGCGGCATTCGCAGCCGGTCGCGGCGCCTGGCACAGGACTGCGCACTGCCGAAGCCACTCGGCGCCGCGGCTGGTCTCATCATGGGCCGCAAGAAAATCAGCCAGGCTCATGGAAAGCGTGGGCGTTGCAGCGCGCGTCGCTGGTGCGGCAGCGGCGCGCCTAACGGCGTGCGCGGCTCGCGTCTTCTGCCTGCGCGCACAGCTGGCTCCGGCGCGTAACAACGATCATTGCGCGCTGCTCCTGATGAGTGTCAACGTGCTGGGCGGCGGAGACTGGTCGCGTTGACGCGGTGGCATTGACGCGGTCGCGCTGACACGGTCGCGCTGACACGGTCGCAATGACGCGGTCGCATTTACACAATCGCATTGATACGGTCTCGGAGGAGAGACGGGCGCGTTGACATGTTCGCAACGGCACGGTCGCTTCGACACGCCCCACAGAACACGGACGCATTGACGCGGCCTTATTGGCACGGTCGCATCGACACGGCTTTACTGACACGGTCGCATTGACAGAATCGAAAAGGCACTGTCGCACTGACACGGCCTTAAACACGCGGTCGCATTGACACGGTCGTATTGGCACGGTCGCATTGACACGGCCTTGGCACAGTCACATTGACACGGCCTCATTGACATGGTCACACGGACACGGTCGTATTGGCATGGTCGCATTGACACGGCCATGGCACGGTCGCATTGACACGGCCTTATAGACACGGTCACACTGACACGGTCGTATTGGACGGTCGCATTGACACGGCCCAAGCACGGTCACATTGACACGGCCTCATAAACGCGGTCACAGTGACACGGTCGTATTGGCACGGTCGCATTGACACGGCCTTGGCACGGTCACATTGACACGGCCTCATTGACACGGTCACGCTGACACGGTCAAGGAAACAAAAGCCGCTACAGCGGCCCGACCACGCGCGCACCGAGGGCGCCGGCCTCGCGTTCGGCCGACAAGCGCCCACGGGGCGGCGCGTGCGACGCGGGGGTATATTTACCCTCCCCCCACCGCAAGGAGACGTGGGTAAGGAACACGAACAAGACGAGGAACACGAAGTCCATGAAGACCTGAGACGAGGCAACCCGAACGCACCCCCCCCAACCGAACCCAGCCCGCCCCACCACAGGCAACGCGGCGAACCGCGGCACCAGCGGCGGGGCGGCTGGGGGAAATGGTTCCCACGTCCGCGTTTTTGTGACACCGAACAAAACTGCGTTGCGTTCTCGCCGGAAAGAGAAGGTGCAGAGGCGGGTGGGGTGCAGGAACAGGACGGGGGGGGCGGAGAGGAGATTGCAGGGGAAGGTGGGGTGTGCGGGAAGAGAAGGGGGTGGGCGCTGGAGAGGAAGGTGCAGGGGGGGGGGGGGGGGGGGGGGTCCCAGAATTGGGGAGGCCTTGCGTGTCAATTCTTTCGTCGTTTGCGTCCCCCCCCTGCAGAGCGAAGCTTGAGCGAGCTCAAACCCACGCTCTCAGAAACTCACACGCCGGATCGCCGGATTTCTAGTGGCATCATGGATGTACGGACATGAACGCTTCGGGCCTGTAAGCGCTCCTTTTCGGAGTCCACGAGGGCCCCCCAGGCATCCCAGAGGCTATGCGGTCGGACCCAGAACTCGGACGTTGTGTTTTCACATTGTGGGCATCCCCCGAGATCTGGGCCTCTTTCGCGGGACCGGATTTTCACCCTGAGGCGCCTTTTGACGGTCCTGGGGCCCAGCAAGGGCGCCGGAGGCCGAAGTTTGCCAACACATTTTCCGCATGAGTTATCACAGCGAGTGGAGGCGGGGGGGCAGGATTCCCGAGGATCTTTGACCAGGCCCCCCCACGCTTCGGACACGCTGACCACGTCCCGGCCCCCACACCAAAGACCCGAGCCTTTTCAAGCCCCCCGCCCCGCCGCTCGGAGCAACACGCTATCCGCTTGCAGGCCACATCGTGTCGCCTGGGCTGCCGCCGCGACACGCTAAGCAAAAGTGCCTGACCGTAGTTGTGGCCGTACGCCTCCTGCTCTGGCAGCCCTCAGGTGCGGAGCATCGCGGCGGGCAAGGTGCGCGATGCGGCCAATGTCCAGCTGCAAGGCGCGCGCCGCCTCCTTCTTCCCACTTCCCTTCCACCTCGTCGTCCAAGCTGCCTCCCTCCTCCCCGCTTTTTTAAAACCGTCTTGGCTCACGCCCCGCGCCGCAGGGCCGCGCCGTCGGCGCGCTCGCCGCGTGACCGATGCCAGGTTCACTCGCGCCGGAGGCGTCCGGCCTGCGACACGCCGAGGATGCAGCCCGCGGGGCCCTCCTCGCGGCCCACGCGGCCGCGGGGCTGGCAACAGGGCGCTCCCTTGCCGGGGTGCGCCTGCTGCGCGCCGCGGAGGGCCTCCTGTGCGCGGCGGTGGCGGGCTTGCGGAGCCCTGCTGCCGAGCCGCCTTCTCCAGCGCCGGGCGCCGAGCCCGCCCTGCAGAGGCGGCGGCGGCGAGGGCGCGGCGGCCGCGGCGCGGTGGCGCTGGCGGGCCGCTGTGGCACTGCGGCCGATGAGGCTCGCGCTGGCGCCAGGAGGTCGGGGGCCAGGCGATGCAGGACGGTGCGGGAGGCGGCCGCAGGCCGCGGCGGCGGGGCCGCGCGCAGCCTGACCCTGTGGGCCTCCTGATGGGACCGCCGGTGGCCTCACGTTGCTGCCTGGCCGCCGCGGCCCTGGCCTGGGCCGCCCGCGGGCGTCAAGGTGAGCGTCGTCGCCGACGGGGTCAGTTCCGCCTCCGTTCTTCTCCAGACGGGAGTGGTAGGACTAAGAGCATCCGCGTCATCCGAAAGGGTTAGGTGAGGAGGTGATGGATGGGCGAGAGAAGAATGAATTTTAAAGGATATCAATGAGAGGGCGGGAGGAAAGAAGGAGAGGAAGACGACAGGGGGGGCGAAACAGAAAATCATCTTGGCGAAGGTCCCAACCATGTGCAGTTGTGGGTACCGTAATTGTGAATATCCGTTTCGGTGAAGCTCCCTGTGGGGCCACGAAGCGCTGCACTGGGCGGGGGGGAACGCTGTACTGTGTGGGTGGTGTGCCGAATTGGGTTTCCGGGACGCATGCGGACGGGCCCACTGAGGGCTTCGGTGGAGCTCCCTATGGGGCCACGAAGCGCTCTATTGAGTGAGTGAAAATGCCAAATCGGGCTTCCGGGACGCATGCGGACGGTCCCAGTGGGGGCTTCGGTGGAGCCCCCTATGGGGCCACGAAGCGCTGCAGTGCGCGGGTGAAAATGCCAATTCATTTCCCGGACGCGTGCGGACGGTGGCACTGGGGCCTTGGGTGAAGCCCCCTATGGGGCCACGAAGCGCTGCACTGGGTGGGTGAACGTGCCAAATTGGGTTTCCGGGGCGCATGCGGACGGGGGCACTGGGACCTTCGGTGGAGCTCCCTATGGGACGACGAAACGCTGTACTGGGTGTGCGGGACGCATGCGGATGGTAGCGCTGGGACCTTCGGTGGGGCTCCTCATGGGGCCACGAAACGCTGTACTGGGCGTGCGGGACGCATAAGGACGGTAGCACTGGGACCTTCGGTGGGGTTCCCTATGGGGCCACGAAGCGTTGTACTGGGTGGGTGAAACGCAGAGAGCAGGGGGAGGAGGGCCACGAAACACTGTACTGGGCGCGCGGGACGCATGCGGACGGTAGCGCTGGGACCTTTCGGTGGAGCTCCCTATGGGGCCACGAAGCGCTGTACTGGGTGTGGGGGACGCATGCGGACGGTAGCACTGGGACCTTCGGTGGGGCTCCCTATGTGGCCGCTACACGTTGTACTGGGTGGGTGAAACGCAGGGAGGAGGGGGAGGAGGGCCACGAAACGCTGTACTGGGTGTGCGGGACGCATGCGGATGGTAGCACTGGGACCTTCGATGGAGCTCCTTATGGGGCCACGAGCGCCTTCGGTGGGAGCTCCTGGGTTCTGTGGGGCCACGAAACGCTATGGGGCACGAAGCGTTGTACTGGGTGTGCGGGACGCATGCGGACGGTAGCACTGGGACCTTCGGTGGGGCTCCCTATGGGGCCACGAAGCGCTGTACTGGGTGGGTGAAACGCAGGGAGGAGGGGGAGGAGGGCCACGAAACGCTGTACTGGGTGTGCGGGACGCATGCGGATGGTAGCACTGGGACCTTCGGTGGGGCTCCTTGTGGGGCCACGAAACGCTGTACTGGGTGTGCGGGACGCATGCGGACGGTAGGAGGAGGGGGGGGCACGAGGAGAAGAGGAGAACGCGGGGACCGTTTCTTCAAAACGAGGACCCAACACCACAGGATGGTTAGGAAAAATAACGACACCATTGAAGCAGGAGGAGATGCGGAGGAGGATGAGGAAGAGGAGGAGAAGGAGGAGGAGATCGGGGTTGTGGCAATTCTGGTATTGAAGATGATGGTGGCTGTGGGATGACGACAATGAAGAAGATGAGGATGGTTAGCGTGAGGAGAAGGAGGATGATGAGGATGGGGATTCTGGCTACGGTCGATCTTGGGACCCCCGCCCGACGCGCCGCCCGACGCGCAGGCCTGCTCGCCAACGTGATCGACTCGGAGTGCAGTCCAAAGTACGGGCGCTTCGCCCAGCTTCCATGGGCAGTGGCAGGGGGACACTGGCAAGCGGGAGACCGCCTCCGAAGCGAATGCTTGGCTTCTGTGGTGGAGGAGGAGGAGGAGGCGGAGGAGGACCAGTGTAAACCCAAGACTCATCAACGATGTTGGATCACACCGTCCTCCAAGGTCCCTCTTCATAGGCCCTTACAAAGATTCACTCCCAGTGAAGGAAGTGCCCCGTTGGGAGACAACCGTTTGAAGGTTCTGGATCGTGCGAAAACGCATTTCTCGGGACTCCAACGCCACGAATCAACCTGCCTGTTGCGTCTTGACGATCCTGAACCGTGCCAGAACGCAATTGAGGATGAGGACGGATCGCAGGAGGCGGGTGAGAAGGAGGGGGAGGAGGATAAGAGGGAGGAAGCGGAGCATGAGAGGGAGGGTAGGCTTGCGCGCCGCCGGCCCCACGGATCTGAAAGGCCCACTACCTCCCCACCTCCCAGGGTGCCTCCCCTTCAAACTTCTCGGGGCGCAGCTCGCGGAGCACCGCCCTCTGGCCCTGCATCCCCCTGTCGCCGTCTCCGTACTCTCCTCCTCCTCATGCTTCCGCTCCGCCCTCTTTCCTCTTCCCGTCCCCTCGCCTCCCTGGGCTGGGGCTGGCTTCCGCCTCTTCCACTTCTTCTCCTCGTTTCTCCTTTCCCACCGCCTCCCCATCCTCCGCCTCATCTTCCCGTCCATGCTGATCCTCATGCTTTTCCTCCCCCGCATCCTCCTTCTCCTCTTCCTTTTCCCCTTTCCTTGAGGTCGTTCTCCTCCCTGCCCCCCCCCCTCCTCCTCCTCCTTCCTCCTCCTCTCCTCCTCCTCCTCCTCCTCCTCCTCCTCCTCCTCCTCGCCCCTCCTCCTCCTCCTCCTCCTCCTCCTCCTCCCCTCCTCCTCCTTTCCATCCTCCCCCTCTCTGTAATCATCCCTCGACAAGTATTCAATACTAATGCTACCCTTCTGTCTCCACTAGCAATGTGCAGTGGTGCTCCCGCCTCTGTAGAGTGACACAGGATTTCATTATGTGGTCTCCCCCTACGTGCTTCTACAATCGGAGCGCCCTTGGTCGTTCAAAAAATCGGCTATCGCTTCAGCACGGTCTATATTTCCTGGTCCGATGCCTTCCTCGTTGCTGCCGCCCCCCTCCTCTCCCCTCCTCCGCCTTCCCCCCCTCCTCCCGCTCTTCCCGCTCCTGTTGCTCCTGCTCCTGCTCCTCCCTCCTGCTCCTCCCTCTTTCTCCTGCTCCTCCTCCTCCCTCCTCCTCCTCCTCCTCCATCTCCTCCTCCTCCTCCTCCTCCTCCTCCTCCTCCTCCTCCTCCTGCTCCTCCCTTCTCCTCCTGCTGCTGCGCACTGCTACGACTGCAACCCCCGACTCCACAGGGCGAACGCCGCGGGGCCCGAAGCCGCGCGCCGCCCGCCGAGCCGCCCTTCCTGCACCGCTTCCTGGCAGCTCTCGCGCGCGCTGATTCTCCGGGGCTGTCGCCGCTTCTGGCTCTTTTCGGACGCGCCACAATCGCTCTTCACTGGTACAAATTGTTCATTTCTAATTAGTCGAAAAATCTTTGATTTTCTGGGGGGCCAAGATCCTTTCATTTCTAATTGTTCTAACCTGGGCCTCTTCCTTGCCACTAGGGGGCCAGGAACAATTAGAAACGCGCACACTTAGAAATGAGCACGATCAGAAATGAAGACGTGTAGGTGACGTCCTGTGGCGCCAGACCACATCTTGACGAGGATATTCCGGCCCTTCGCCTCCGTCCCTGCCAGGGTCGCTTTCCCAGCTCCGCCTCCGAGGAAAGGCGCACCTGCCCACACCCCAGCGTCTCCTGTAGACGATGCCGTCCTCTGTGAGCACTCTACAGAATTTCACGGTGCCTTCATGTGGTCCTTAGGCTCGCGCCAATCGACGTCGTAGTCGAGGTTCCCCACGTAGACCACGTTCTCCCGACTCCTCGGACTGCCGCCGCAGCCCTCTTTTCGCACGCCTCTTTCCGAGCCTGTTGCTGACGATGTCTTGCTTGCGCTGGTCGCACCACCGCCCGCTGCCACTGCCACCCCGCTGCCATCTGCCGCTGCTGGCCATTGCCCCAGTCCTTCGGCCCCTGGTGCTGCCACTCTGGGCCTGTAGCTGGTGACGTTTCTGTATCGCTGCCCTGGCTGGTGCTGTAGCCCGACTGTAGCTGGTGACGTTTTTGCTAGCTGCCACTGCTGGCCCTTCTCGCACGCACCCATTGCTTGCCTGCTGCCACTGCTGCCTGCTGCCGCTGCCGATTCTGCACGCATGCTCCACCGAGACTGTAGCTGATGACGCATGGGTGTGCCCCCCGTACAGGACACCAGACAGGGATTCCTGCGCTGTCGATTGTACGCCTGCAGCCTTCGGGAGGCTAGGTCATTCTCACTCTCCTGCTGTGTCAGGCAGGCTAGGTCATTCTCACTCTCCGGGTGCTTCTCGCTCTCTTCGCCCTCTGGCATTCGTCATCCTTTCTCCTCCTTCTGCCCTCGGGTCTCCTGATATCTGCGATGATATGCTGGACGACGGCGCGGTGTCCGTGCTTGACCGCCAGCTTGCAAGCGTCCGTTACAGACCCGTTTGGGGCCTGTGACCGCGACGCGAGCCGCAGCCATGCAGCCACGGCAGCATCGCCCCTTTCCATAGCCTTGTGCAGGCTGCCGTTCCTCCTCGTCTCTTGTGCTCTTCGCGATGCCCGCGAATCCCAGACGACCGAATGTGTAGCAATAGCGGGCACAGTACAGGTTTACCAGGGCCGAGCACACGATTCCGCCACCGTGCTTCCTCTGGTGTGTCTGGTAATCAGAACTACCATCGCTGCTGCTGCTTTCTGCCACTGCCGTCCCGCTGTGCGCTGCAACCGAACCTTCTTCACGCACGCGCCACTTCGAGGTTGTAGCTGCTGGTGACGTTTGGCCACTTCCTGCTACTGGAGCCGTAACTGCGTTGGGCTCAGGTTCGCCTCCCTCTGCGGCCGACGACGTCTGCAGCCCGCTGCCCTGCCAGACGTCTGCTGCCACTGCTGGCCCTTCTCGCACGCACGGCTTCGTCCCTGCAGGTGTTGGTGGTTGGGGACCACGGCCGCCACTGTGCACGGCCTCTGCTGCCTCGTTACACGCGCTCCACTCCAGGCTTGAAGCTGATGGTATTGCGTGCCTCCCTGTCCAGGGCGGAGCAGTCAGGGGTTGCTGCGCTGCTGCACCTTTGTCAGCTGTCTGAAGTACGGTGCCCCCCTACAGGGGCTTTGCTGTGTTCCTGCTCTTTAACATGTGTCACGGGTGCGGAGCTATACTGTCAATGCCGCGCTTTCCTGTGGCTTTGCTGTGCTCCTGCTCGCAATGCACACCGCCAGAGGCGGCGGAGAGCTTGAGAGATCCACCTACCAAAAGAGCCAGGGCTGTGAACACCTTCTTCACAGATCCTGCTTCTGCTGCTTGTCGCCTCGTTTTTGCTGCCACGATCCGCGGCGCTGACACTGCGGCCACTGTTGCTTCCACTGCGGCCACAACTCTTGATGCTCCGCCCGTCTTTTTGATCCCACCGTTCTTGATCATCCCACCAGCTTTCCCACTAGCCCAGCTGCGCGCTCAGGTGGGTGACTGAGTCTCGAGGCTCTGTGATGAGAAGGCTCTGCTGCTGTATCCTGTCGCCCGCGGCTCCCTGGGCCGCTTGTTGTTTGTTTTTGGCCCTGCGAGAGAGGCGGGTCTGCCGGGCGCAGAGACTGCCTGTCGATGCAACTGGTAGAATCCGCTGCGCCTGCTGCATGAGCAGAACTTACCGAGACCGCTCCATGCTGGCTGAGGCGCCCGCTGGGCCTCCGGCGGCCAGTGGGTCAGGCCCAGCCCCCCCCTGGAGATGGCGCGCGGCCGGGCGGGCGCGGCGCCGGGGGCGCGTGCGGGGGCAGCAGTCCCGCGGCGGGAGGAACCGCGGTTCGGGCCCCGTATGGCCCTTGAGCCGAAATGGCTACGGAACCTCCTCCTCCTCAATTCCTCGTGCTCCTCCTCCTCCTCCTCCTCCTCCTCCTCCTCCTCCTCCTCTTGCTCCAACGTGCAGTGTACAGGGCCCCCCTCTCCGACTGCACAGCAAACGACGGCTCGAAACTTTTCAACTGCCATTTGGGGATCAAGGTCTTCTCACACACACCCTTCGACAGATAGCAAATGATTCGGCGGAATGGTAGGATGTTTGTTCTGGCGCGAGCGCGCCTAGCTTATTCTCCCCTCTCCCTTCTCCTGCCCTGTCCTCTTCCTCCCTTGATTCCCTTGATCATAGTGCGCGTCCCATCCTCTCCTTCCGACTTTCCCCTTCTCCTCCCCCCTTTACTCCCCCTGGTGCTCCACCTCCCTCCTTCCCTCTTTGCCTTCTCCCCGTTGACATCGGCAACGCTTCGGCACTGTCCCAAGGCAAGTTGCCGCCGCAGCCGTTTTTGCCTTTCCTCGCTTGTGTCCCCCCCCCCCCCCCGAAGCGAAAGTCAAAGGTCTCTCCTCTCCTCCTCTCCTCCTCCCTCCTCCACTCCTCCCCTCCCTCCTCCCCTCCTCCCTTCGCCCCTGTCCCCCTTCTTCCCGTGCTTCATTGACCCCTCCCCCTCCCGCCAGATTCCAGCTGATGCCGCTCTTCTACGTTCTCGCCCTCGCTGGCGGTGCGGCCGTGTTGGCCGCCGGCGCCTGCTGGCGCTGGGCGAGGGTGGTCGAGCGTCCGCGCGAAGGCGACCGACGGCGGAGCCCCGGCGCAGGGGAAGGAGGAGGGTGGTGGAGAGGAGGGCGAGGAGGGCGAGATGGGAGGAGGGCGAGGATAACAAGGGGTGGGGAGGATGGGGAGGATGGGGAGCAGGAGGAGGAGGAGGAGCAGGAGGAGCAGGAGGAGGAGGAGGAGGAGGAGGAGGAGGAGGAGGAGGAGGAGGAGGAGGAGGAGGAGGAGGAGGTCAAACGCTGCAATCGCCGATTGAAGTCCGCTCAACGTCAGACAACGGAGGAGGAGGACGACGACGAGGAGGGGTAATGGGAAGCAGGGGGAGAGAGAGGTGATGAGGCGGATGAGGAGGGGAAGTGGGAGGAAGGGAGAGGAGATGGATAAGGTTGATGGGGGGGGGACAGGGGGGAAGGAGATATGGAGGGGAATGGGCGGGAAGTGGAGAACTTCCATGATAGACACGCTGATTCGGCGCCTCTCCAGAGTACATCCCACGTTCCTGCTCCTTCCCCTTCGGCTCCCCGCCCTCCTCGCTCTCTGCCTTCTCCTCCTCGTCGTTTTCCGACTGTCCAACGCAATCGAAGCGTTGTGCCGATGGCCTGGCGCAGACCCCATCGCACAGATCCAGGTATCGGGCAGGCCGCACCAGAGTACGTATGTCAAAAGTCGCTGGCACGAGTGAGAAGGGAGGGAGGGAGGGAGGCCTGGAGAGAGGGAGGGGAACGACAACTGGGAGGATGAGGATCAGGAGGATACTTCGGAGCAAAAGAACGAGGAGGAGCAGGATATGGGAATGGGACAGGGGAGGAGGAAGAGCATAGTGATTATGAGGAGGAGGGAGAAGAGGAGGACCAGAGTAAACCAAAGATTTCTCAACGATGCTGCAATCCACTCTCTCGCCCCAAGCCCCCTCGCCACTCGCCCTACAAGATCTTCTTCACTGCGCGAAGTGCCCCTTGGGCCCCTTGGGCCCAGAATTCAGGCGGGAGTGTAAGTTGTATGCATGTACACATAATGTACACACGCACATATTAATTCGTATATTTATGTGACAAGACACCCATGCGACACAGTAGGCTCATCAAGCTCAGCGACGTATCCAGCGGCAGCCCCGTTTTGAAGAGGGACCGGCCTCCACCCGCGCAGCCGCTGCCCGCCTTTCGATCATTGGCAACACATCTCTGACGCAGCCCCGATCGGGAGTGCGATGTTGACGAGGCGTTGCCCTACGTCATGCTGGTGCTGTTTTGATAGTGACTCGAAGTGCCTCTTTTTGGAGACGAGTGTGCACGGCTCCGGGGCGAGAGCCTCATTCTGAAAACGGCCCGCCTTCCATCCGTGCAGCTATTCGGGACTTTAAGCTTCGAGATGCCCAACGGTGAGGAAGTCTCAGGCGAAGCGCCCGGACCGCCCTAACGACACGCGTGGTGGTCTGAAAGGAGGTGCTACCTATCAACGGTGGAGGAGAAAGAGGATGAGAAGGGAGGAGGAGGTGGACAGCCCAGGCGCAGCACAGTCATAGAGCGTGCAGGGCGGGCGCAGGCGTCAGTCGACGGGCGATTGATCTTGCGCTTCATCCGGGCTTCTCCTTCTCCTTCTCGCTCCTCCTCTCCTTTTCCTCCTCCTCCTCTTCCTCCTCCTCCTCTTCCTCGTCCTCCTCCTCCCCCCTCCTCCTCCTCCTCGATCCCAGATCCTCCCCTTCGAACTTGGATCCTCGATCCTCGATCTTCATCGGTCGACGGTCGAGTGGCCGACAAGGCGACGGTGGCCCTCTGGAGCGGAGGCCACGGCGGCGTTCTTCCGGGCCACGGGACCGGTGGGGAGTCCGCCGCCGGAGGGAGGCATGCCCGCCACAGCGGCACGACATTGGCCATGGAGGGGGCGGGGGGAGGGGGATGGTGTCGGTCGTGGTGATGGTGGTGGTTGTGATGGTGATGGCGATGGTGATGATGATGATGATGATGATGATGATGATGATGATGATGATGATGATGATGGTGATGGTGATGGTGATGGTGATGGTGATGGTGATGGTGATGGTGATGGTGATGGTGATGGTGATGATGATGGTGGTGGTGATGATGTTGTTGATGATGGTGGTGGTGGTGGTGATGATGTTGTTAATGATTGTGATGATAATGATGCTGATGACGATGCTTGTGCTGCTGCTGAAGATGATGAGTATACTGATGATAATGATGATACTCACCCCCGAATTGGCGTTCGCGCCGGCTGCACGCGGAGGGGGCTGGTGCTGGGCCGCCCGGTTTCGCCGGCCGCTCCCTAGTCAGGGAGTCGCCCCTAGCCCGTACTGTCCAGCCTTCCGGCCGCCTTCGCCTTCCACGTGGCCATTTTCATGTGCGGTTGGGCCGCTTTCAGAAGCTTGGGGAGTGCTGGGGATTATTGGCACTTCACCCGCACGCTGTGTTTCTCTTTGCTTTCCTTCCTCCCTCCCCCCTCCCTCCTCCCTCCCCCGGGCTTCGTCTTGGTGTCACCATGTTGGTGCCGGTGGTGCAGCTGTTCGGACGACGAGTCCACGCTGGGCACTCCCAGTGTCTCTAGGTGCGCGCAGGCTGATGTCCCCCTCCTCTCCTCCTCGTCGTCCTCCCCGCCCCTCCTCTCGTCCTGTGGTGTCGTCTTCGTGCCAGGGTGGCATGGCCGCCAGACGCAACCTTGCCGTTTCTGAACCAGGTCGAGTCCCGGGCTATTGCAAGTTTTTGCTTTCGTCGCCTTGCGGTTGGCCTCGCTCGCGCTGTGCGTTCAGGATAGCCCCCTTGAGGGGCAGCGGATTCCTCCTTCTCCTCTGCTTCCTTGCCTTGGGAAAAAAAACTGATGGTAATGATGATGATGACGGTAATGATGATGCTGATGATGATGATGATGTTGATGGTGGTGATGATGATGCTGATTGTGCTTATGCTGATGCAGATGATGATGATGATGATGATGATGATGATGATGATGATGATGATGATGATGACGATGATGATGATGGTGGTGGTGATGATGCTGTCGGTGACGGTGTTGGATGTTCTCGATGATGCTGCTGATGATGATGATGCTGATGCTGGTGAGGATGGTTGTGGTGATGGCGGTGTTGATGGTGCTGCTGGTGATGTTCGCGGTGAGGAGAGTGGTGAGGGTCATACATTGCAAGATCGGGTGAGAACGAGTGCCGGTGGTGGTGAGGAGGACGATCAAAAGGAGGAGACACAGGTGGTTTGGTACGACTGTGATGATTACAATCATGATGATGCTGCTCTGCTGCTGATGATGATGCTAACGCTTCTGTTGATGATGCCGCTGATGATGATGATGGTGATGATGCTGATGATGATACTTATGATGATGCTGATGATGATTCTGATGATGATGCTGATGATGATGAGGATGATGATGATGATGATGATGACGATGGTAGTGGTGGTGGTGTTGATGATGATGATGACAATGGTGTTGTTGTTGGTGATGATGATGGTGCGGATGAGGAAGAGGAGGAGCAGGAGGAGCAGGAGGAGCAGGAGGAGCAGGAGGAGCAGGAGGAGCAGGAGGAGGAGGAGGGAAGGAGAAGGACGAAAAGGAGGAGGAAAAGGAGGATGAGAGGCGCCGTCGTGATGGCAAGGATCCCCGCACATCAGCAGTGCAATCCTCTGCAACCTCCCCGATCCCAACGGCCGGATCACAAAGAGAGGAGGCGAACAGCTGCCGTTGGAGGCCGCGGCTGCGGCAGAGAGTCGGGGGGAGAACGGGGTCGACCGAGGGTGTCCTGCATCGAATGCCAAGTCGAGAGTCGAGCAGTCGACGTCCCAGCTGGTGACGCGCTGCGACAGCGCTTTTGGGTCGCCTCTTCGGCTTGGGAGGTACAGCGCTGCATATTGCAGCATCGGCCTTCACACCTGTCGCTTGGGGTTGCGGATATGCTTCGCGATCTCTTTTTACTTGTTTCGTGATGCGAACAGCACGCGCGCGAGCTAACAGGGTCAGCATCGAAGCGTGCGTAGGTACTGACGAGAAAATAGCCTCCGTTGCGGCGCCTCCGGCACTGTCACAAGTGCACTCGGCGCGCCAGGGGGGGGGGGGGGCGCCGGCGAGATCGAATAAACCCGCCCGGACCTCCGAGCATGTTGGCTTACGCCCTTTTCCTTTTTTCCTCCAGACGTCAAAATATATGATCTTTTTAAAGCGTGCTCCGAGCGGTCTCTCCACGCGGCTAGTTTTCCGCCCAGGGTCCACTTGTGCTGGGCCAGGGTCCTGAGAAAGTTATGGGGAAAATCCTGGAGGCCTCGCGCGGCGCGTAATAGTAGTATGATCTAGTCCACTTGTCGATTCCGTAGCTATGGGTCGACGCTCGCGCGGCGATGCTCCAGAGTCAGTCCGACGAAAATCCGACGTAAATCCGACGTAACCCGACGTGAACCCGACGTTAATCCGACGTGAATCCGACGTGAATCCGACGTAAAGCGGGTCTCAAGTTGCCGCGCGAGGCCTTCAGGATTCTTCATAAAGGACGGGGCCCAGTGGCCGAAATCGGGAAACAGTGCCCAGATTGACAAATCAGATCGTCGGATATCTGGGCTCGGGCCATAATCTCAGGCCTCCTCTGGCGGCCCCCCCTGGAGCGCTCTCGATGAGATGCGCAGACGCTGAAAAAGGCATCCCGAGACTGGAGGACCTCCGGGCACCGACGAAACCGTCCGAGAACATTCTAAAAGCTGTGCGCTACGCACCCTGAGATCCTTGAGTTCAGGTGTCTGGCCCTTAAGCGTCTCCATGGCGACTGGGGAGGCAAGGATTTCCGAACTGATGGATTTCGGTGTCCTGGCATACCGAAATCCATCAGTTCAGTAATCCTGCCTCCCCATTCGCCATGGAGACGCTCAGCTCAGGGGCCAGATCGCTGAGCTGAAGGATCTCAGGGGGCGTATGCGCGCTGCAGGGAGGGGGGGGGCCGCGCTTTTCTTCGCCTGGAGCGGCCCGCGTAGGTGCCCTGCTTCCACGGGCCAAGGCGGAGGGCCTCCGGCAGCGCGCTGTCGTCCTGCTGGCCCTGGCGTCGGCCTGCCTGCAGCAGTGCGGCCTGCTGGCGATGCCTCTCAGGAGCCGCTCTCCGCCTCCCCGCTGGTCCCTCCCTTCTGCTCCCCTTCCTCCTCTTCCTCCTCCTCCTGCTCTTCCTCCGTAGCCATTTTGGCTCAAGGTTGAAACCTGCCCTGGGGCTTCAGCCTTGTTGCAGGCGACAGGGAGGCCCGAACCTTCCGAGGCCAGGACGCCTCTCACTTACCTGTCGTGCGCCCCAGCACGCTCCCAGTTTTGGCTCCAACGACGTGCTCTGCGGCGCCATGGGCCCTGCCACCTGTGACCGCCCGCACCCTGCTGCACATCGTCTCGATGGTGGTGATGACGCTGATACGGAGCTCGCCTCCTCTGGTGGCCGTGATTCCTCTGAGGAGCCACGCCGCTCTGCCTCTCGGAGCGGTGGCAGCCGAGGAGCCCGTCGTGCCGCTCGCGCTCGGCCGTCCTCCCACGGCACCGCTGGACCTGCTCCTGAGCCTCCTCGCCGTGCTCGCCGTGCTGGCCGTACTCGTGGCTCTGGCTGGGACGTCCCACCTTCTCCTGGTGCTGCTGCCTCGCATCGGGGCCCCGACCCTGCAGCACAGGGCGCATCTCGGGGTGCTGCCTCCAGCCATGGGGCTCAGGCTATGCCCCACGAGGAGTGGGATGATGCCAAGCGGGCACAAGTGGCTGCAGACCTGGAGATGGCCGCTACCTTCCCGTCGCAGGAGATGCGCCCCGACCCGCACGCCACCCCGCATGGCCCCGCTGCTGGGCACTTCGACCCATGGGCCGCGGCGGCAGGGGCTGGCGTTCTCTCGCGGGCTCAGGCTGCTGCTGGTGGTGCTGCTGACTGGGGTGATGAGGAGGAGCAAGCCGCCTTCACTCGGGCCTTTTACCATGCCGACATCTCCGCGAGATTCCTGCAGCTGCGCCGTGAGTTCGACAACATCGTTACCACGGCCGTCACCAACTCCGTCCAGCAGTCGAACGCCCCTATCTTGGCCACGCTCGCCACATTGCAGAAGCAGCTCTCCTCGCAGCACACCTCCATCGATCAGCAGGTCATGGCCTCGGTGCGCCCACAGTTCGATGCTATGCAGCGCCAGTTTCAAGAGCAGCATGATGCCCTCAGCCGTCGGGTCGATTACACCGAGCGGGACATCGAGGCCCACGCCACTCAGCTGGCTGAGCTACAGAAGCAGGTCGAGGAGCTTCGCCGCCAGAATGAGCTGGACCGACAGCTACCTTCGCGGCCACCTGCCCCGCCTGGCTTCGACCGCGAGATCGATCCGTCGCAGGTCATTGTGGTCTCGTCCAAGCTCGTCGGTCTGGCTGGCGTCCGTGAGGTGGTCAACTCTTTCATGGGTGAGCTCAACTTCTCTGAGGGTGACTCGTACACGATCAAGGCCCTCACGCCGCTTCCCTCAAAAAAGTTTGCCGTCTGCTTTTCTGGGCCGATCGGACTTGCCTCCCGCCGGGTGCAAAAGGCCCTTGCTAACCTCAAGACGGACGGCGCCTGGCGGGTCTTCCAGTGCCCTGCTCAAGGTGCTGATCCAGCCCGTCTTCACTTCGGTCCCGACAAGTCGCCGAAACAAGTTCGTGGCGAGATGCTCCTTCGTAAGGTCCGCTCTTCCCTCATGGAGATTGACAGCCAGAGGAGGTGGTATGTCGATCGGGAGCGGAGCGTTCTCAAGTCTGACTACACCGACATCCTTCGTCTTGTTCCACGGCCAGGTGACGAACCTCCTGAGATCTCTTGGAACGACGTGGGGATCCGCGCCCTTGGCCTTGACCGTCGGGACCTTCAGGGAGCCATTCGAAACGTCACCGCTGCGCCGACGGCCACCCAGTGGTGTCTTTGACGCCATTACTAGTATGTTTGTGCTTCCAGTGGGGCAGGTCGGCGGAGAGATCACAGCCAGCCTCGCATTCATGACCTGGAATGCACGTGCTCTTCTTCAATTTGGTGGGGCGAGGGCCTCGACTAAGCTATCTTACCTAAGCAGACTGCAGCCTGGGCGATCCATCTTGGCTCTCCAAGAAGTGCATGCAGATCGGTTTGAGTTGAACGACTTTGTGACAAGGCTTTCTTCCACGGCCATTGTTCACAGTAGCTTTTGTGAAGATGATGATGGAGAGGTTGTCCGCGGCTCTGGGGGAGTTGCCGTCATTCTTCCACCTTTCTCATCTACTTCGGTCAGTAGCTGTGCGGTGCCTCTGGTCAGAGGCAGGGTGCTTCGTGTTGATGTGGCACTTGGGCATACACAGCTGGTGATCTTCAACGTTCACAATCACGGCTTGACCAAGGGTGAGGTACAATCTGTCTGTGAGCAGATCGGTTGTGCTCTGCGTCGCGCTGCTGATAACCCCCTCTCGTACTTTGTGGTTGTCTTGGGGGACCTCAACTACAGTTTTGATTCTTCTCTTATCTTTCACCGACCTACTGGTGTGCAGCGGCAGCAGACCCATGATCATAAGGTTCATGCTCCACTTTGGGCTGCTACACTTGGCAAGATGATGGAAGTTAACTCGGAAGCGGCTACCCACTTCTGCAAGTTCACCAATTCCATCAACATCATCGACCGCTTCTTCTGCTCTGCCACAGGCTGGATGATGTGTCAGCTCATGACCGAGGTCAACACGGTGGACACGCCAGAGCACCTGAGCTCCCAGGGCATCTCTGATCATGCTGCTCTTTCGGTTCGGCTGCGACTTCGTGGTGCGCGTCCTGCCTCTGAGCGGCCCATACCCAAGCACATCTTCACCTCCGTTGCCTTTCAGCGCCGACTCCGAGGAATGGTTGCTGATAGTGATGAGGATTTGCTTCGATGGGGTCCACCTGTGGCCACAGAGCACTATAAGTACATGATGAAGGAGGCCGCCAGGGAGGCCCGCAACATCCTCTTCTATTCGGCCCCAGACTTGCCTGGGACGCTGCAGCTGGTTGCTCGTGGGATAGCGCGAGCTGTGTGGCGTCAAGATGCTGCCCTCGCCCTCAAGCTCATCGAGACCTCCCAGCACGCCGCCGACGCTCTGACGGTCGACGGCCAGGTCGTCTCGCTGCGCCACGCCCCGTCCTTCGAGCAGTGGGCTGCTGGAGTGCATCGGCTGGTATATGAAAAAGAGCTTGCTGCTGCTGCTGCTGATCGTGCTCCCTCAGGCTCCTCCTCAGCTTGGCGGCCTAGTTCGGCCACGCTTTTGCGAGCTCTCGAGAGGAAGGCCTCCATATGGGCTCCGTTTTCGAAGCGCCTGATTCTGTCCGCGGTCAACACCCCAGAGGGCCCCATCTCAGAGGTTCGGGAGCGCACTGCGGCCCTGGCGGCCTACTGGACCCCTGTCTTCTCCAGGAAAGAGCCCCACCCTGTCATGACCCAGATGTACCTCGATAGGTTCCTCACCAAGGCCTCCGACATAGACCTGCACTGTCCTCTGACCTCAATGTTTCGGAAGGTTCTTCAGCGTGCCCGTCACTCTGCTCCTGGTGTCGACGGGCTGCCCTACGCGGCCTGGTCGGCGTGCGACTATGGCGCCCAGCACCTGGCCAGAATGTTCGGGTGGCTATGCCAAGGTCAGTCGTTGTTCGCCTCCGCCAGCGTCACCCTCCAGGCGTTTCTCCCCAAAGGTGTTGACGACTCAGATCAGCCGTCTGGGGTATGTTCTCGGTCTCCTGATAAGATACGGGTCCTGGGGCTGCGAAACACCGACGTTAAGATCCTGAGCTCGGTCATGAATCGGGTCCTCGAGCCTGTCGTCCAAGCCGTGGCACCTGCTTCCCAGAGAGGCTTCATCAGAGGACGGAATTTCTGCTATAACGTGCTTGAGCTCGATGCCCATGCTCGGCTTGCATCTCAACATCCCCTTGCTGAGCGCCGTTCCCCTGTCCTCGTCGGGTTCGACTACGGGCAGGCCTTTCCGAGCTTGTCGCAGGCCTTCCTGCTACAACTGTTGGGCTCTCTTGGGCTCCCCGCCGAGGTTCTTGCTTTCGTGGGATGGATGTATTTGGCAGTGGAAGGTGTGGTCCATGATGGGGGACGCTACGCGACCATCTTCTGGATCCGCTCGGGCATCATCCAGGGCTGTGGTCTCTCGGGGTCTTTATATGCTCTCGCCTCCTCTCCCATGCTGGCCGACCTCGAGCGGGGCATCGAGCATCGTCGGCTGGGGATATGCCGTGCTTGTGCCGATGATCTAGGCGCTGTCCTGTATGAGCTGGCCTCTCTGCGTATCCTGGTGCGGGTCCTTGGGGTCATGGAAAAGATTGCGGGCCTCAAGATTAAGATCAGCAAGTGCACCCTGGTCCCTCTCGTAGGCGGCATGACCGAAACCCTGAAAACTATGACCCAGGCCCAGCTGGCCTCGATCGCGGGTGCCTGGTCAGGCTTTGCTGTTGAGGGGTGGTTACTTTATCTTGGGATGATTTTGGGCCCTGATGCGACGGTCGACATGAACTGGAGGGGCCCGCTCATGAAGGCACGATCTCGCTCTCGGATGTTGGGACGTGGGGTTGCGTCGGTCTGTACCAACTGTATCTTATACCGCACGCGTGTTTATCCTTGTTTGGCCTATGTGGCACAATTCCTTCCTATGCCTGAATGGTTCCTGCCCGTTGAACGTGGTGCTATCGCCCAAGTTCTTCGAGCTCCCCTCGGCCTCTTTTCGAACGAATCGGTCCTGGAGCTCCCGGCCTGGGGTGGACCTCAGATCCCATCGTGGGCTGCCCATGCTACTGCTGCTCACCTTCGTGCTGCTATTCACACCTTCCAGGGCTATGAGAAATACCTGCGGCTGCTGCGGCAGACGGCTTCGCTTTGGCACAGAGAGGTCGTGGAGGGGAAGTTTGATGCTGTCCCTTTGGTTTCTATGGATCGCTCTCGTGTTTATCCAGCTTTCTGGAAATCCCCTGCGTTCGTCGAACACCTTGAGCTGGTCCACGTGAGGTCTCAGGAGCCCCTGCTTGTTGCTGCTCGCTCGGCTATTCGTGAGGAAGCTGAGGTTACGACACGAAGACCCAAGCTGCAACGTGCGGCTGCTCGCTCACTGGGTCAGA